TTGATACAAATCAACAAACTGTTATTTTGTTTACAAATCCCTTTTTTTTCCTTTTTTCGGAAATAGTTTGACTGAACGTAGATAATCGTAAGTTAGCCTAAGTCTAAACCATATTCCTCATGGGATCGATCCTAACCTAAAAGTTAGGTTCTTTATTTGACAACGACCGCTTATACTTTTTTCGGGGGGTGTAATTTGGATGTATCACTACTCATGTAAAATTATTCATCTGCACTTGATATTTGAAGTATGATTTTATAATCTATGTGCACTTTTCATGTTCAGCCTTTCGATCCATTGTTATTCCATTTAGTTTAATTATGCATACTTTGATCTCGCGTAGCTTGTATTGCGATTAATGTCCTACCTTTTATGGCTTTTTTGGTCTTGAGTGCAATAGTAGAATGACTTAGATGATTGTATAATTAACCACACATGGGAGTTAAAATAAATTCGCCCTCTTGGTTTTGGCTTATCAAGGCTTAACTAGGTCTCATTTGTTTTTATTAAGGTTAGAACGTCAGAATTCGAATATTGAGATGTGTATTAAGATTTAGATATTTGAATTTGAATACTCATCTAAATATTAAAATATTGTAAAAAAAAATTGAATAAAAAATAATTAACATCATTTATATGGTTGTGGTGGAAGAGATGTCTAATGATGACGGTTATGGGTGCCGATTGGGAATGATATTGGCTAATGGTGGTGGTATGAGTAGTAATTAGTTGTGAGGATGATTAATAGTAATGATTGATGGTGGTAGTTGGTAGTGAAATCAAATAGTTGTGATAGATGAGAGTGATAGCAAATAGTGGTGGTGACTAATGACATTGATTGACGATATATAATGACAATTGATGGTTGTTGTAGTAATGGTGATTGATTGTAATGGTGCCTTGTGGTAGTAACAACTTTTTGTAGTGTCATGGCAAATGATGGTGGCTTTTGATAGTGGTAGTTGATAATGCTGGGGACTATGACGTTAGTTTCGAATAGTGGGCGATGATGGTAGCAGTGAATGGATGGAATCAATGAACTGTTATCTTAATAGAAGTCTTTGACTAGACATCCCATGATGTTTCGATTTTGTTATAAATCTTAATCATCCAAATATATTCAGACCCATTAAGGCCTCATTTGTTTTTTGATAAGATGAAGAAGTTTGAAACTGAATGCATATCTGAGCATTTTATTTAGATATATGAATCTGAATACACATTTGAATATTAAGATGAGAAAAAACATAAAGTGACACCAAAAGTTGTCCTGAATCTATGAAAAGACACTTTAACTTTGTGGTTGTCCTATCACCCCACAAAAGTATTAAATACCTTTGTAAATATATCATTTTGACCCATTTTCTCCCTATGTTTGTTTGCCGATGACGAGTGTGAATGAGAAGCTTTTCTTTCAAAACGAATTTAAAAGCATTACATGTCAATTCTTTCTCTATTATTTAATTACTTACTCTTTAAATACATCATCTTTCCCAATTCTTACTAAGAAACCATTAAAGATTGGGAAAAGGGTAAAAAACACCCCTCAACTTTATTTTATTAGTTGACTATGCCCTTACCGTTAAAGTGAAGTTATTTTTACCCCTGTCGTTACAAATTTCACCATATACACCCCTCATTTGACGGAAAGTCTCAAATCAACCAAAATTACCCAATTTCAATTAAAATGACCCGTTTCTCTTTTAATCCAAACCCGACCCACTAAACCAAATTAATTCATACTCAATTAAAACCCCAAACCCATTTGTTTAATCTTCTTCATCTCCTTCCACCAGTAAAACACTTACTGCTGAAATCGTTGAAGGTACTTTGCTCGATTTTTTTTTTGGAACAATTTCATCATTTCAATTTTAACATGGGAATTAATAAAACAAAGTATCACCAAATCTATAAAGTACTTAATATTGTCACAGTTGGAATAACACAAATTGAAAGAAAGAACAATGTTCACCCAAAAATTATGAATAACAAAAAATCATTAAAGAAACAATAAGATGATCGGAGTTTGAAATGAGAGTCAAATAATTCACCTGAAACGCAGTAAAATATAACAACAAAAAGAGCAAAACAATTAAAGAAAGTAATTTTTGACAGAGTTGATTGTTGTTGTCGAAGCTGGAGGGCTGATGAGTTCTGGTTTGCTGAAAATGCAGATCTGCAAAACAAACAAAGTCATGAAAGGGAAGGGGAAGAAAAGCAGCAACGATGGTGGTTGATTGTTGCTGTTGGGTTTCACGAGCTCATGGAGTTGAGGATGTTCGTGGCGGGTTTTTCGTGTCGATGAGGCGGCGGCGGAAAGGGTTGTTTTGGGGTGGTGATTTCTGTCGATTTGGAGGTGAGTGGTGGTTGTTTGGAGGTGTTTTTGATGTGGTTCACCGGAGTTTCTGGTTGGAGAAGGAAGATGGGTTGAGGGAAGTCGACTAGTGGAGTCAATTTGGGTGTTTTCTAGTGACATTTTGGCTGGAGAAAAGAGGTAGTAAAGGGTGGTCAGGTTCGCCGGAGTTGGCGTCTGGTTGTGAGGTGGCTTACAAATTGTTTTTCGTCGAAGTGGGCTGGTTTAGGTGGGTTTGGTCACTGACCGGAAAGTGGGTGATGGTGGCTATGAAAAATGGGGTCGTTTAGGGGTGGTTGTTTGGTGGCTGGACAGCAACATGGAGAGTAGAGGCTGGTCGGAAAAATGGGAAAACAAAGGCTGAAGTTATTGCTTCTTCCTCCCCTATTTTTCCTTTGTTCATCTCTTGGGTTAAGTGTTAGAGGGTCAGGCATGAGTTTAAAAATGGGTAACGGGTTGTTTTTTAAGATTCAAGTTAATTTAAGTTGATTTGGGGCTTTTCGTCAAATGAGGGGTATATATGGTGAAATTAGTAATGGCAAGGGTAAAAATAACTTCACTTTAACGGTAATGACATAGTCAACCAATAAAATAAAGTTGAGGGGTATTTTTGACCCTTTTCCCTTAAAGATTTTATAAAATAAATCATCTTCTCTCTTGAACGAAATCTACCCAAAAAGGTAAGAACATTCTAACTTCTTGTTAATTTCCAGTTGTTCAATGTTTAATTTCTTTAAAATTTGAGAAATCAAGTTATCTTTTGTGATTAGGTTTTGAGGGAAACTACTTTTATAATGTCAAATACAATCTTGAATCATATTTATAACGATGAGAATGATCCGAAGTTGCGTATGAAAATGCAATGTAAACATAAACACTTACTTTCAATGTAAAATAAAGCAAACTAAGCAAATAATCTTCAATTTCCTGCATAATTTGAGAAGGAAAAAATGAAGAGAAAAAAGTGAGAAATGGAAATATAAAGAAAAAGAAAAAGAAATTAATTATATTGATAGGTGAAACATTTTGGGTCGAGTTAAACCAGTTTTTACGAAGTATTTAAATTAAATTAATTAATTAAAGAAGGAGGGAGGGTGCATCACACATATATTCAAATTATCTCGGCTAATATCATTTTTTATGTTGTTACCTTTCTCAAAGAATAATTTTAATATTTTTTCTATATTATTAGTGATTTATTGAATTTATTGGTAGAATTATTGAAAATTTTACTTTTGCTTATTGTCTTAATAATAAATCGAAGCTTACCCCCTCACCCCATGTTGCATAAAACGTCTCGTCTCATGTCCCTACGTTTTAAAACACTGCATATAAGATATAATAAGAAGGATACAATTAGAACTTATTTATGCTAAAACTTTTTTTTTTTCACTAGAAACAAAGGAGCTCCAATCAAGTGCATTTTTTTTTACAAACTTGGGGCAAAAAAAAAAGGAGACGACATTCGAAAATAAATAGTCATTATATCTAAATAATGTTTTTAAAAAAATACACAATTGCATGCAACTCCATTATTTTTGTCAAACTTTTTTATCAGACTAAAAAAAATGAGACTCTAAGTTGTTTTTCCCCCAATTATTTTGTCATGATAAGAAAATACACAATTAAAATAAATAACCATTGTATTTAAAGAAGAAAAACATAATTTGTACTTCATTATTTTTGACGAAACAACTTTTATTTGGCTAAAATGATGGAGTTCAAGCTATAGAAAGCATTTAATGATGCTTGCATTAGGGTATATGGTCTACATGACTACATCACACGTCTTATAAATATAAGATGCTTTGAGCACTGAACTGTTTTTCTCATAAAATCCGAGGCAAGTTTCTTTTTTAAATTTGTTTGAAAGAAAAAATAGACTGTTATAAACAAATTAGTTGAAGCAAATCATTATTATACTTATTGCACTTGTATTCCTTGCGAAACCAAACATGTATAATAGGAAAGGGCGATTTGTGAATTTTAATCCCAAAAATAAAAGATGAAAAGGGCGTAGCGGAAAAAAAGTTAGGGCGACTTAAGAATTATACCAAAATTAGGATCAGTAATTATGGTAACTTTGTTGGTTTAAATTTTAAGAAAACCCAATTTGAATAGGAATCAATTGCAGACCTTATTGTATAAATAGGACCTTATTGGCATACCGTTCCATACTAAAGCGTTTTGATCTTATGAAAGCAAGCCAAAACTTCAAGTAAGTTGTTTTGATTCAAGTAAGTTGTTTTGAAATTCTTTGGTTTAATTTCCCAAGCGTAATTTTTCTTTTCTTTACATCGTTGGTTAATTTTATGAGATTGCTTCGATAAAATTCATAGTCTATTTTTGCTTGAACTGAACCGGTTCCAGTCCAGCTTGAAACCGGTCTCCCAGATTAATATCCGTGCCTCTTTCTATGGCACTAATTTCCCTCCAAATTCAAAGTTAGAAACTGCCATTTTCCACCCCAAAATTTCTGCTCTCTTTTAGCCCTAATCTGTGTTTCATTTGCTGTAACTTCTTTATTTTGTTCGATTCCTATATTCATAATGCCTTGTCTTGCTAAGTGTTAATAATCATGTAACGTAAAATTAGTTTTTCTAGTAAGGTATTAAGTTGTGCGTACTTTATAAATTGTAGATTGTAGATGTCTGTGTTAGTGGAAACAACGAGTCCCCCAAAGATGTTAGGCAAGAAGAAACTTCATTTGATGGTCGATACTAAATCTCCCTCCACATTTAAGCGCCTAAAAGTTGATGCTACCCGCAATTTTCCTGAAAATTGTGGTTCATTTGTTTGTCAAAACAATGGAACCAGAGAGATAAACCCGGAATTTCCATCCACTACCAAGCCTGTAAGAGTCGAGACTACGAGGAGTTTTCCTGAGAATTGTGGTCTATTTGTTTGTCAAAACAACGGAACCAGAGAGATGTACCCGGAATTTCCATCCAATACCAAGCGTGTAAAAGTAGACTCTATGAGGAGTTTTCCTGAGAAGTGTGGCCCCTGTGTATCTCAAAAGAGGAATGGAAGTGATACTCAATGCTCTGTTGACGCTGATAGCAAAAGTTGTTCTGAAGTAGCTAAAAATGTGGTTGAGTCAGCTGAGTCAAGTAATTTTGAGGCAACTGGTGCGCGTCCAAAAGAGGCTGGTGGTTCAAGTCATTTAAATACCTCATGTCGACCTACTAATGGAAACCAACCTTTGAAATTGAAAGAAGAAAATCTTATGTGTGATGAATCTACTCAACAGCATGAAGTATTGGCTAGTCAGGCTCTCCAAAAGCCGTCAACTGATACAAGAAATACATGTGATTGGTTTATAAAAGATGAGCCTATTGAAAATGGACCGGAATTGCCTGCTATTGTTTCACAAGAAAATCTAATCGAAGCTCGAAATGAACCTAGTAAGGAAACAAGCCAGAGAGTTCACCACGAAGAAGTTTCTGACGATGAGTCCAGGAGTTGGGTAGATGATGATGACATTTCCATTTTAACATGCTCCGAGTGGAAGAAAGGTGGCAAGGACGGTGAGATCTTACACAAGTGCTCAAATATTTTAGAAGATGCAGTTGATTTCAAGCCATTGCCTGACATGATACGTCCTGAGCAGCACGATGAAATGAACAAAGGCCATTATTTTTTCTATAAGGATTGGGATCAATATGAATCTGTGGTCATGTGTGGTGTTTCTGGTCATGGATTGTCAACTGAATATGAACATATTCATAAAGTAAAAGTAGTTAGAGAGACTCTGAAACTTTTTGATGACATATATACTAAACTTTTGCGAGAAGATAAAGCAGAGAAACATGAAGGACGATCCAAAAGAAATATCCATATAGAGGCAGCAATGACTTTGAAAAATCAGAAAAAGTGGGTAAATTGTGAGTGGACTTTTGGACATGTTCCTGGAATTGAAATTGGGGATCAATTCCGGTTCAGGGCAGAACTTGTTACGATCGGATTACATCACCAATTTATGAATGGTATCAATTATGTGAATATTGGCAGAAAATATGTTGCAACAAGCATTGTTGATTCTGGTCGGTACGATAACGAGGCCATATCTTCTGAAACATTCATTTATGTAGGTCAAGGCGGGAATCCAAAAGTATCTGTTAATGCGAGAGTGGAAGATCAAAAGCTTAAAGGGGGTAATCTTGCCTTGAAGAACTCCATGGACATGGGATGTCCGGTGAGGGTTATTTGTGGTCGAAAAAGAGTGAATGGTGAAAAGAGTGATATAAGATACATTTACAGTGGGCTCTACACTGTGACCAAGTGTTGGGAAGAAATAGCTCCAACTGGAAAATACATTTTCAAGTTTGAATTGAAAAGAAATCTTGGCCAACCAAAACTTGCTCGTGAACTAATGTCACGGCCAGCAAAGTTAGTCAAGGTAAATCAATTTCGTGTCAACAAGGCAAAAAAATCGATTTTGCAGTCGGAGTTTGTTGTGGACTATGATGTCTCCCAAGGAAAAGAGAAGATACCAATCCCTGTTGTCAATGCAATAGATGATGAGAGACTCCCATCATTTACTTACATTACCAACATACAATATCCAGATTGGTATTACATCTCTAGGCCTCAAGGTTGCAATTGCACAAGTGGATGCTCGGATTCTGAGCAATGCTCTTGTGCTTCTAGGAACGGAGGTGAGATTCCATTCAACACAAGAGGCTCTATTGTTAGAGCACAACCTCTTGTTTATGAGTGTGGCCCATCTTGCAAATGTCCACCTTCTTGCAAAAATAGAGTTAGCCAACATGGTCCTCGATACCATTTGGAGGTTTTCAAGACCAAATCGAGAGGATGGGGTTTGAGGTCACGAGATCATGTCTCATCCGGAAGTTTTATATGTGAATATGTTGGGGAGTTGCTTGATGTAAAGGAAGCTGAAAGTAGAATAGATAATGATGAGTACTTGTTTGATGTTGGCAACTATGATGAAGAAATCCCAAAAAGGAATCCTATGCGTAATAATAACCTTAAAGTTGAGTCAGATTCTTTGCGGAGGAAGGATGAAGATGGCTTTACCCTTGATGCGGTTCGATATGGGAATGTTGGAAGATTTATCAACCATAGTTGCTCACCAAACCTTTATGCTCAAAATGTCATGTATTACCATGGTGATAGGAGAGTACCTCATATAATGTTTTTCGCTTCTAAGAGTATTGCTCCATTAGAGGAGTTTACTTATCACTACAACTATGACCATGTTTATGATAAAAATTGTAATCTGAAGAGAGAGAATTGTAGATGTGGCTCTCGGAAGTGCGAGGGGAGAATGTACTAAAGAATTACTCATGTAATACTATCCCTCTTGACATGATGTTTAAAGTATAATTTTTATAATCTTTGCACTTGTCATTTACATTTCATTATGCGTAATATCCTATTCTTTATGACACTTTTGTTTGGTCTTGAATGTAGAATAACTTAAATGGTTGTAGAACCACATGAGGGAGTTATTACTTATTCGCCCTCTTAGTTTTAGACTTGCTGAAACAAGGCTTACTTATCACCCAGGCTGGACCAAAATCCTTGAAAGAAACATTTATCTTAAATGCGAATATCTATTTTCCTATCAAGTAGTGAAATTTGTACACGATTGCAAGACTTGTAATACAATGTATGCGTCCACTAATAGTCAATGAACCAGGTCCCTTGACAGAATATGCGTCCACTAATAGTCATAGTGATGCATTTTGGATTGACAATGCTCCCTTCAGTTTTTAAAAGCACTTAAGGAGGTTCATGTGGATCACTTCAGGATCACTTTTCAGCTTGTATGCCAGGCTCTCCAAATGTCACCTTTCCACAAGCAGTATTGAGTACCTGGGACACTACGTATTAGCTGCTGGTGTAGCTACTGATTCAAAGAAGATTCTTACAGTTCAGAAATGGCCTATCCCTACAACCCTTAAGCAAATCAGAGGGTTCCTTGGCCTTGCAGGATATTATAAAAGATTTATCCAAGGTTATATAAGTAAAGATGGAACTTTTAAATGGAATGAAGGAGCTACCAGGGCATTTCAGCACTTGAAGGATGCGCTGATATCTGCTTCCGTGTTAGCTGTTCTTAACTTTAACTTGAGTTGTGATGTTGGCATAGGAGCTGCTATTATGCAGCAAGGGAAACCTATTGCTTACTTGAGCAAAGGCCTTTCTCTACACCATAAAGTTATGTCTGTTTATGAATAAGAGCTTTTTGTTTTGGTAATGTCTGTATCTAGATGGGGCCAGTATCTCACAAGTAAACCCTTCATTGTCAAAACTGATCAAAAGGTTTTAAAATTCCTGCTTGAACAATAGTTTCATATTGGATCCCAGTTGAAAATGATTACCAAACTGATGCAATTTGATTTAACTATTGAATAAAGGAAAGATAAGGAGAATAAAGTTGTTGATGCTATATCTCGACTTCCTACAATAGAGTTGGCTGCACTAACCTTAGCTGTTGTCAGGTCAGGCTTATTGCAGAGTAGATGTTGTAATTGTTGTTGGTTAGGAATATGTGACCTTGTTTATCTTATAAAAGTATGGTAGAAGTTTTAAAAGAATATGGAAGAAAAGGGATTTCCAGAGGATGTATGGTAAAAGTTGACATGAAGAAAGCATATGATTCTTTGGAGTGGACATTCCTGGAGCATATTCTGGCCGAACTTAAGATACCTGCCAAAGTCGTCAAATGGATAATGCAGTGTGTTACAACAAATACTTATTCCATTCAGATAAATGGGCATAGTACAACAATCTAATGTCCCCTTATCTTTTTATGATTGTTATGGACTATTTGACAAGAATTTTGAAGACCTTGTAGACAAATCCCGATTTCCATTATCATCCTAGATGCAAAAATCAGATGATAGTGCAATTGAGCTTTGTCTGATGACTTATTGATGTTCTGCAGGGGTGACTTAAAAATCAGTAAAGTATCTTGGTCAATGTTTTATGATGTTCTTCAGTGCTTCTCGCCTGGGTGCAAACATATATTAAGAGCAATGTATACTTTGGTGGAGTCAACCAACAGATACAAGAGGAGATATTAAAGGAATTGCAATTTGTTTAGGGGGATCTGCCATTTAGATATCTTGGAGTTCCTTTGACTACTAAAAGGCTTTTCATATCACAATGCAAGCCACTTCTAGGCAAGATGCGAAGTAGGATTACAAGCTGGACAACTAAATTTTTATCATATGCAGGAAGAGCTCAACTCATTAAAAGTGTACTGTATGCAATCCAAATGGTTTGGTCCCAGATATTTGCCCTTCCCAAGAAGATCATTCATTGAGTGGAGACTATGTATAGAAGATTTCTACGGACTGGTAACATTGAGACCTCAAGAAAAATTCTGATTGCATGGACAAGCTGTGTTGCCCCAAAGCAAGTGGAGGAATGAATCTACTTGACATATATACATGGAACAAGGCTGCTATTGAAAAGTTGTTCTGGAATAAATGCCAGAAAAAAGACAGGTTATGGGTTGCTTGGATTCATAGCTACTATGGGCAGAATGAAGTGTGGAATATACAAGCTAAACAAGCTTCATGGGTTGTCCAAAGGATTTTGGAGGCTTCTAAACATGTACAAGTGGCATGGAAAAGTACTCTATTAGCAGAATCTATTTGCATGGAGATCACTGGCGTGGACAAATATTGGAGCTCCTAAATGGATATTCATTCTGTATCTCGCAGTGAATGGAAGGCATGCAACTAAAGATAGATTGGCGAAATGGCCGGGTATAATCCAGTCCCCTACATGTTCTCTATGTCAGCTGGTGAATGAGGATCTAGATCATCTGTTTTTCTAGTGTTTATATGCTACAAAAGTTTGAAATAGTGTACTAACTTGACAAGGGGTTAGGAGAGGCAGTATGAACTGGACAGATGAGGTACATTGGGCAAAAGTAGCATAACACTTGCTTATCGCTGGAACGTAACAACAGGATATTCCAACAGAAGCAGCAGCCAGCAATATTTTATAATATTTGAAATGTTATTCTATTATTACTATATATAAAAAGCAGAGGTTTTTAACCTCTACAAATTGCACTTTCAATCTTGGCAAATTACCCTTTTTCTTTCCTATGTGTTTGAATAGCAGCAATTACCGTCTCTGCGACAAGTGGCTCCCAAAGCCTGAAGAAAATACCAGATTTCAGGGGTATGCCAAATTTGGAGTATTTGTATCTAGATGAATGTATGAGTCTTGAAGAGATTCACCATTCCCCGGTCTGTTGCAGAAAACTCATTGAGTTAAGTTTGTATGATTGTTAATGCGGAATCTCTTAAATATCTGAATCTACGTGGAATCCCTTATCATGTTGCAACAGGCTGAAAGAGTTGCCAAGTTTCATGGGGATGCCAAACTTGAATATTTTGAAACTCAATTGCTGCAATATATTAGATGGAGGACTTCCGGAAGACATTGGATGCTTATCCTCTTTGAAAGAGTTGAATCTCATTGGAAATAATTTGGAGTATTTGCCTCGAAGCATAGTTCAACTTGGTGCTCTTCTATGCTTGGATATATCAGGTTGCAAGAACCTTACAGTAGATGCAGATTGGATCAATGATTCGATATGTAATTCATTGTTTCGGAATATCTCATCATTGCAACATGATATCTCTGCTTCACATTCCTTGTCACTATAAAGAATATACCAAGTTGGTTCCACCACCAAATTTGACTATTTTTCTAGTGAAAATTTGTACTTGAAACTAAATTTTGAAATGAAAATTCAGAATAATACTTAGCAAAATTCAATCAAAAAATTTACTTAAAAACTTTAGGCAAAATACATAAATGGTCTTGAATTGGTAAAGATTATGCCGTATTGCACTTAAATCTTCTTAAAGAGAGCGAGATATCCACGTCTCAGTCTTATTTATTTATTTTTGTTCTTTTTATTTTCAAATATAATTTATTATATTTGTGGTATATTACACCAACAATAAATGTTATAAAGCGAAATCTGAAAGAATATCTCTAAATTATCTTTTTTAATTCTCATTTGTATCCAAATAATTGAGTGAATACGGATCAATGTAAGTTTAATATTAGTGACTCTAGTCCAAAAAATGAAATAGTTATTTTGACAAAATGAATTTTATAATTAAATTACAACATAATTATCATTCTTTTCCGGATCAACTAAAAGAAGTTGTGTCTTGTGAATTGAGACAAAATAAATAGCAAATTTTCGGCCTTGTTGGTATTACGTAGTTAGATAAAGGGATGGCAATGGAACGGTACGTGGAAGGGTGGGGCGGAGCGGAGCGGGTTGAGCTTAACCCGTAAAATTTTTAATACGCCCCGTATAACATTTTTTTTTTCATTTTCAACCCGCTCCGCATGAACCCGCCCCGATTTATTTTAATATCTTCTTTTTCTATTTAAGTTTGAAACTAAAAATAAAATTCATAAAAATAAATTCATTTTTTCATTAAGTTGTATTAATTTAATAGGATAGTGAATTAAAATTTTATTTTTTAGAAGTCAATTGGGAAATATGTAAGAAATTGAATTATTTTTTTACTGAACCATTTTCATTTACTATCTTGAATATTTTAGTAACTTTAAAGAAATCATCTTAATAAATACCGTTCTATAGCTCTTATAACATGTAAAATATTAAAATTAAGTTTAAACCCACATGAAATCACATATACCCGCAACCCGCCCCACATTGGCTTTTAAAAACCCACTTCAACCCACCCCATCCCGCATCCACCCCGCCCCATTGCCATCCCTAGTTAGATACAATATCTCTTGGGGTTTGTTTGGTACAAGTTATCTTGAGATTAATTATTTCGGAATCAATTATTTTAAGATTGTTAATTAATTTTTATTTTTAGGAAATAACCTCTCTATATCTATGAGATAGTGATAAAGTATACATGCACTCTAGTCTTTTTAGACCTTACTTAGTAAGTTGTTGTTTATCAACCCTCATAAAACCTCATAAAAATAACATTACAATTCTGAAATAATTTATCTATAATAAAATATCTCAAAATTTTAGTCCAATCAAAGATAAAAAAAAATCAATTAATATAAAATAAGCCCAATTTAAAAATATTTCCAAAATTAATTATTACTTGTCCATCGCACCAAACGAGCCGTTAAAATTAGTCTTGCTCACATGATAGTAGGTAAATTGAAACGGAGTAGCAGCATTAATAGTTTGGGGAAAATTCTCAAAGCACCAACACAAGGTTTTTTACTCGTTCATAGCGAAAACTGAGAGGTTCAAATTTCTGCTACTCAAATGGAATTCAAGCAATATGTAGCCTTCCATATACCCCCAGATCTGAAAAAAACCCACAAATCATTCTCAATTACCTTCAACTTCAATAAAAAATTCAGTCTTGACGACAATCCCTGTGTTGCCAGCAGAACTCATCACTGAAATCCTCTCAAGGGTACCAGTGAAATCGATTTTGAAATTCAGGTCTGTTTCGAAATCTTGGCTTGCTTTGATCTCTAGCCCTGAATTTATCAACACCCATCTCAGCATATCCACTAGTAACAACAAGGATTACACTCACCATTTGCTTACGATGAATTTTCGTGCAGCTACGAATGGTCTTTATGAGTATACTCTTAAAGATTTTACTCTTAGTTCCTTACTTTATGAGTCTGTAACTGAGGCATTTGACTTGGATTATCCATACAAGAAATTGCACAGTCATTTTGCGATTGTAGGTTCTGTCAATGGATTGGTTTGTCTTGCCATTGATGAATATGAATTGGTTCTATGGAATCCATCAATTAGGAAGTACAAAAAATTGCCAAATTCCAAACCTACATTAATGAAGAAAGATTGCTGTCCTTTATATGGTTTTGGATATGATGAATTCCACGATGATTATAAGGTAGTGGCTATTTTTTTGAAATATAGCAGTCGGGATCAAGTTGAGGTCAAATATATAGTTTACACAGTGATTCTTGGAAATGTGTTGATGAATGTCCAATTAAGAAGCTACTAAAAATATCGGGCAAGTTTGTGAATGGGAAACTTTATTGGATTACTCATGCCCCTGATTTGTTTAATATGTATAAAGACGGGAACATCATTTCTATTGATATGACTGATGAGAAATGGGGAAAGGTGGAGCAGCCCAACTATGGAATAGGACATTTTTCTTTGAGTCTTGGAGTGTTTGGAAGTGATTTTTCTATCTTTTGTGATAATATGGTTAGTCATGTAGATGCTTGGGTTATGAAGGTGTATGGGATTAAAGAATCATGGACAAAGATGTTAACTATTGAGTATCCAGATGATCCTTTTGTGGATTATGATTATATGCTGTTTCCACCCTCTTTCATATCAAATGAAGGAGAAATTTTGGATCTAGTAAAGTCATGACATATTCTACTTCACTTGATCAAAAAAGTAACGTCATGACATATAATCCAAAGGATGACTCTTTCAGATATTCAAAGGTTATTAACTTTAACTTTGACGGTTGGCGTCTGGCGGAAATCTACGTTGAAAGCCTAGTTTGTCCTTTATCTGCAGAAGGGAGAAAGAATGCAACAAAAAGGAAGGCTGGAAAAACTCAGGTGAACAACAATTAATCAACAAATGACTTGGAAGAGTTGCACTTTTTGCATTTCCGTCACATTCTATTGAATTTTGTTTGTTATCTCAAATATAAACAATGCATATGTAAAGGGTGTCTTTAAACCATATTGCTCGAGGATATCGTTAGTCATTTTCCCTTCATGCTCTACTTCTATTAAGCAATAATTGTCTTCTACATCAAACTAAGGGTGTAGTAGGTATTTAAAATGTAAGGGCTGGTAGGGTGATGGGCGTGTGGATGAAGATGAGATGTGTTGGAGGATTGTGAGGACACAATCAATGTGGAATGACACTTAGAACTTGTATTCTCTGCTTCCACTAGAGAAGTCATTTTCGGAGAACATTTTCTGGAAACGTGGATTGTCATAAGTTGTGCTTGTGGCTTATTGTTATCATGTCCCAAATGCAGTTGTTAGGGAAACAAAGCTTGTCTATTTGCTATTGGAGTATGCTAATAGGCCAGTCATTTCCCTTTTTCCTGTAATATGAGATACCGCATAAGAAATCCCGAAATGCACCATCAAATTCGTGAAATTATGGATTCACAAAGCCATATCTTGAGCATGTGCGTCGTGTTTGATCCACATTTCCATGTTTTGAAGTTACTTGCTTTTATTGTTTATGATTTTTCTGTAAAGTCAATCGATTATGAGGTTCTTGATCTTCGGAATGAAGAAAGTAGCTATTCGTGGTGACCCCTAATTAACTTGCCTCGGCAGAGCCAAGGAAAAACCAGAATATGATATAAACAGAGCAAGCAAATAAAAGTCCTCTTTGCAATGGAAACTGGTTACATCATGTGAGACTCACAACAAATTCCGGGTAAAGGAATTGATATTTTGGATATGGTGAATGATAGCTGCATTGGCCATACTACTTCTCCTACGGTTACTACACAGTAACTTGAAAGACGATTGCATACTTCTTGCCGTGCCTTCTACATATAAGCTATTTTATTATGTCATGTGATGTATCAATGTAGTTCTTTATTAACTGTTGTGTATTATTGAGATTTCAGGAAGTGAAAGTTTCTCACTGCCGACTGCTTGAATCAAAACTGTGAAGAATGGCTTTTCCGAGCTCTGAATGTTCATCGAAGGTACTCTTACTTCGTTGTAGCTTGAACGGGTCATGAACAAGGTCAAAAATCTTCTCCTTCCCCTGTATTACTTTTGTATTTTGAGATGGGTTAGAACTACATTTTGAATCTTCCCATAAATAGAATTGACTACTTAATGTAGTAGAGATATTTTAGAGTTTGCTTCACATTCTTATATAATATGAAATAAGCTGACAGTAAAGGGCCATCGAGCTCCAAAGATCGATACAGTTAAAGATATGTGAAGCAAACTCTAAAACAATTTATGTTAAAATAAATGTTATATTTATCTAATTAATAAGAATGTCATATAACTTCAATTAATTTCAAACTTTTAAATATTAAGATAATAATTAAATGACAATTATTTAAGGAAAATAGTAAATAATAGTTGTCTATTGTAAAGTCGTTTAATGAAAGAAAAAGATTTAATCAACATTTCTAATGATCTTCATGATTTTTCAAGAACTAGTTAAGTGAACTTGGTTTGCACGTGTGCAACATTAATTAATGATAAATATATATAAAAGGAACAAATTATGACTTATTTGGTACTTCTAAGGATATTTATGCTTTTAAAGTAATATAGATAGATATAGATATTGTCTCGGTTCATTTTTACTTGTCACATTTGGGTCTTAAAAAATGATTTGAGAAATAAGCAATTAATAATAAGGATAAGATATAGAAAAAATAATTGGTTTTCTTCATATGTTAAAAATAACATGTAAAAGTGAAAAATATATTTTTGAAATAATGGATAGCCAAAAGTGAACAGAGGAGTAGATGTATTTTACTTCATTAAATTACTTAACTATGATAAATTATACGGAAAATTGTCAAAATGCTTGTTCCAAAAATGTCCTATTATTATTTTTGGTAAAGAAATGTCCTTTTTCTAATACATTCTTTTTCCTAATAAAAATATTGTAACCATCGTTAATTTTTATGTATGTAATTCATCATTTATTTTTATTTAGATAACGATAAAAATATTCTAATAAAAAAGAAAAAAAATATTTCTCAATATATTCGAAATCGAAGGATGATAAACACTTATTAATTATTGATTTTAAAGTTAAGATACAATAATTATAATGATTAATGCATAAAACGATATAGTTTATTAAATTGCTCCACATTACCAAATATCTTTAAAATATCATCAATGAAGTTATTGCTGACCATTTTTTCATATTAACTTCAAAATTAAGGAATATATTGGCAAATTGTAATAATGATTAAGAAATAAATATATTTTCTATTTTACTAATATATTTTAATAATTATATAAATGAGAAATAATGATGCAATTAATATGATATTATATATAAGACATATATTAGTTAAGAAAATATAAAATGTAACTCTATTTTAATTGATAAAAGGAGATTAAAAAGAAAAAAATGTTTTTTTTTTCACTTTATATTAGTTAAATGGTTTTAAAAGAAAACAATTACATAAAAATCTTTAAAAATAATATTTTATTAAAATTAATGTATTTTAAATGATACATTAATTAGGAAAAGGTACAATTGTATATGAATTACCTTGTTTGATATGAAAACTTGTTGATGTAAAGAATACAATTTGAATAATAGTCAATATAATTGCAAATCTGATTTTATCTTCACTTTTTTGTAATTAACTTACATAGTTAGATATGGAAAATTATTTATTTAAAGAAGCTCAATTTGAATAAAAAATCAATTGCATATCTAATTTAGTCTTCACTTTCATTATGTCTAATTTTATATTTGACTTATCTTGTTTGATATGGAAATTTATTAAGTTAAGGATATCTAATGTGAATAAAAATCAATTGCATATCTAATTTAGCCTTCACTTTTACTATTTTTCTAATTTTGTATTTGACTTATCTTGTTTGATATGGAAACTTATTAATGTAAAAAAAAATTTAATTTGAATAAAAATCAATTGCACACCTAATTTAGCCTTCACTTTTATTATGTCTAATTTTATAGTTGACTTTTTTTTTTCTCCAATTTTATACTTGACTTACTTGGAAACTTATTAATGTAAGGAAACACAATCTGAATAAAAATCAATTGCATACCTAATTTCACTTTCACTATTTTTAGTTTAAATAGAAGCTTGGTATTATGCTATTGGTATACCCTTGTTCCATCTTCCTCTAATATTTTTGGGATCTTTTGGTTTGAGAAAAAAATTGGATCTTAAGAAGTCAACACTTGGATTTATACTTAAAAGTAAGTTATTTCTTTTCTTGGTGTTTTGAAGTTGTTTAGTTTTATTTCTCTCATGTCGTTTAATGTTAATCCTTCTGTTTTCCTACAATTGTTTCATATGCTTAAATGACTTTGTTTGGACCCGTCTCAGGTTAAGGTAAAAAATAAAGTCAAGAATTTTTAGTTTATAAACTTTAATCAACAATTCTTTTTGTTTTTTTGTGCATTCTAAATAAATTATTTTTACATACATACTTTTTTAAAAATAAAAATAACGCCTTGAGCTTTTCCCCAATCTGTAACTATAGTGGATTTTCCCTGGTGAGACCTTTGAGAAACACTTCTAAGACATGCTGAGAAATAATGTCATTTCGAAGATTTATTTTAAATTCGTCAAACCACATCAACCCCTTTTCTTCTTCCATTAGAGAAAATTGTTCCTCTGTTGAAGGACTATTTTGCGGCAAAAGTTTAATTATAAGGACCATAAGTTTAATGCGGAGTGTTAACTGTTTCTAGTTCGACCTCTTTCTATGACACTAATCCCCCCCCCCCCCCCCCCCCCAATTCAAACGATTTCAGAATTTTGCTCTCCTTTAGCCCTAGTATGAGTTTCACTACTCTTCTTCTTTGCTTGTTAGGTCGTATTCTTTTTGTTTCATGATGCGTCTTTTTTTTGCTTTGATATAACATTTTTTTTCCAGTTTGATTCAAACATTCATAACGCCTTGTCGTGTTAGTGTTAATAATCGTGTAATGTGTTTGTGTTTTTGTAAAATTGTTTGCAATTATACTGGATTTATAGGATGAATTTATGTTGTGCCTACTTGTAGATGTCATTTGTACCGGTAGAAACAAGTACCTCAAAGAAGTTACAGAAGAAGAAACTTCATCAGATGATTGATACTAGATCTCTATCAGTATGTAAGCGCATGAGAGTTCATGTCACCAACAATTTTCCTGAAAATTGTCATCCATCCGTTCGTCACAACAATGGAAACACTGTTCAACAACATGATGTCTTGATTAAACATAAGTTGAATGTTCCCAAAATTTCATCAGTTTATTCAAGATGTGAATGGTTTTCAAACGGTGGACGTATTATAAATGAATCTAAATTTCCCGCTATTTTTGAATATGACCATATTCAGAAACGAAAACAAGTTAGAGAGACTCTCAAACGTTTTGCTGATGAATATACTAAGCTTTTGCGAGAAAAGAATGCAGAAAAACAAGGAAGACATATCAACATAAAGGCTGCAATGATTTTGAGAAAAGAAGGAAAGTGGGTAAATTCTGAGTGGGCCTTTGGCCATGTTCCTGGAGTTGAAATTGGTGATCAATTCCGGTTCAAGGTAGAACTTGCTATGGTTGGACTACATCACGAAATTTTTAGGGGTATCGATTATGTGTATATTAATAGAAAAAATGTTGCAACTTGCATTGTTGATTCTGGTCTATACGAGAATGAGACCATATCTTCTCAAAAGTTCATTTATATAGGTCAAGGAGGGAATCCTAGAGTATCTGTTAATGCGAGAGTGGAAGATCAGAAGCTTAAAAGGGATAATCTTGCCTTGAAGAACTCAATGGATTTGGGATATTCTGTGAGGGTTATTTATGGTCGTCCAAGAGTTAATAGTGAAAAGATCGATGGAAAATACATTTACTATGGGTTGTACACTGTAACTAAGTGTTGGCGAGAAAGAGGTCCAACTGGAAAATACGTTTTCAAGTTTGAACTGCAGAGGAATCTTGGCCAACAAGAACTTACTCAGTTAGTCAATGTCAATCATATTTGTGAAACTGTTAACAAGGCACCAAAATCTACTATGCAGACAAAGTTTATTATGGAGTATGATGTGTCGCAAGGGAAGGAAAATATACCAATTCCCACTATCAATGAAATAGATGATGAGAGATCCCCACCTTTCACATACATTACTAACATGCAGTATCCTGATTGGTATTATATCATTAGGCCTCAAGGTTGCAGTTGCACAAGTAGATGCTCGACTTTTGATCAGTGCTCTTGTGCTTCTAAGAACGGAGGCAAGTTTCCATTCAACCCAAAAAGCTCTATTCTTAGAGCAAAACCTCTTGTTCATGAGTGTGGTCCATATTGCAAATGTCCTCCATCTTGCAAAAATAGGGTTAGCCAACATGGTCTTCGGTACCATTTCGAGGTTTTCAAAACCAAATCGAAAGGATGGGGTTTGAGGTCATCAGATTATATTTCACCCGGAAGTTTTATTTGTGAATATATCGGAGAATTGCTTGATCATAAGGAAGCCAAAATTAGAATGGATTATGATGAGTACTTCTTTGATGTTGGCAACTATAATGAATATATCCCCAAAAGAAAGGTTGTAAGTAGTAAAGTCGAGTCAAATTCTTTTAAAGGAAGGATGAAGATGGATTTACTATTGATGCCGCAATATATGGGAATGTTGGTAGATTTATCAATCATAGTTGCTCACCAAACCTTTGTGCTCAAAATGTCATATATGACCATGGTGATAAAAGAGTACCTCACATAATGTTTTTCGCTTCCAAAAGTATTTATCCATTAGAGGAGCTTACTTATCACTACAACCACCGAATTGTTCGTGTTCATGATACAAATGGCAATTTGAAGAGAGAGAAGGGTAAATGTGGCTCTCATAAATGCAGCGGGAGAATGTAGTAAATTACTACTTGATGTACCGTGAGTGTATGGTATTTTTGATGCATTATACTTGAAGTTTTTGTGCGTCTTAGGCATTTTTGTTATTAGATATGATGGTTTTTACCCTAATTTTACAGGAAATCGGTTTGAAGCAGTTGAAGTTGAATGTAGTTGAACCAGGAGGAATTTGGCAACCTACGAGCTCACTCATGAGCCGTAGGTGGGAGCCGTGGGTCAATTGTTCAAGGAAGTCTGACCAAAGTGTGGAACCATAGATGCAAATGACGGATCGTAGTCTGACTGACGGATCGTGGATGCTAATCGTCAATTAAATCAGAGAAGAGGAGCTCCAGTACTTGAACAACGGAGAGACAGGACGGATCGTGCATAGACCTATGGACCGTAGGTGATGACTGTCGATTGAAGACTAAAAATTTTGTCCTACTGCTGAACCACTGAGGAGACTCACGGACCGTTGGCTGATCCATGGTCCGTTGTTTGCTGCCGTCGATTGAAACTGCTCAGACCGGATTTTTCCTATATTTTCTTTTCCTAGGATTTAGTTTCTATAAATATAAGTTGTATTTTTCGTTTTTGGTTGTTAGACTTTTTGGGATATTTTGTTTCTATTTTGAGGATTATTTTGCAAACATTTTCGACAATTAATTCTCAAAGCTTTGTTTATGATATTTGCGTTTGATTTTTCAATTCAAGATTACAGTATCCATCTATTCTAATTGTCAGTTCATTAGTTATCTCATTAACCCTAACATGAATTGTAAATTCTCAAACATGAGTAGCTAAATCCACAACTAGGGTTGTGTGAACCATGAGTAATTAACAATGTATGACTATAATTAAGTAATTCTAAAATAGTGTTGATGCATCTATTGTTAATCCTTTCGTTTAGAATGCTTTCTAGTGGTGCACAACATTAGAACTCGTCTCATTCTTACTTGCCGGACCAAGGAGGTAACGAATGAGAAAGATATTAAACAATGGATATTTAGATGTGTTTAGCCGCTATCTAATAGCCTAACCCTAATAGTGCGAAGGCTAATCTGGGGTTAAGGGTAAGTGTTGGTAAAGCATACACCCGTAGACGGACCAAGTTGCGTGGTGAAATTCCCTACTTGGAGGACCAATCACTTAGGGATACCTAACTTATCAACCTTACATGTTAACACTAGGATAGAGTTACTATTATTAGGAATATTGCGTTAAGATCTTGTGGGGAACACCTATGCCCTAGTTTTTATCTCATATTGATATTCAAAATGTCAATCCTGTTTAGTTGTTACTTATTGATATAAATTAACAAACATCTATTTTGTTTACAAATCCCCCTTTTTTCCTTTTTTTTTTTTAAGAAATAGTTTGATTGAACGTAGATAATCGTAAGTTAGCCTAAGTCTAAATCATATTCCTTGTGAGATCGATCCTAACCTAAAGCTTAGGTTCTTTATTCGACGACGACCGTTTATACTTCTTTCGGGAGTTGTAGTTTGGGCGTATCACTACTCATGTAAAACTATTCATCTGCACTTGATATTTGAAGTATGATTTTATAATCTATGTGCACTTTTCATGTTCAACCTTTTGATCCATTGATATTCCATTTAGTTTAATTGTGCAAACTTTGATCTCGCGTAACTTGTATTGCGATTGATGTCCTACCTTTTATGGCTTTTTTGGTCTTGAGAGAAATAGTAGAATGACTTAGATGATTGTATAATTAACCACACATGGGAGTTAAAATTTATTCGTCCTCTTGCTTTTGGCTTATCAAGGCTTAACTAGGTCTCATTTAATTTTATTAAGGTTAGAACGTTAGAATTCGAATATTGAGATATGTATTAATATTTAGATATTTGAATTTGAATACACATCTAAATATTAAAATGTTGTAAAAAAATTGAATACAAAATAATTAACATCATTTATATGGTTGTTGGTGGAGGAGATGGCTAATGATGACGATTGTGGGTGCCGATTGGGAATGATGTTGGCTAATGGTGGTGGTGTGAGTAGTAATTAGTTGTGAGGATGCTTAATAGTAATGGTTGATGGTGGTAGTTGGTAGTGACATCAAATAGTTGTGATAGATCAAAGTTATAGCAAATAGTGGTGGTGACTAATGACAATGATTGACGATACATAATGACAATTGATGGTAGTGATTGATGGTTGTTGTAGTAATAGTGATTGATTGTAATGGTTACTTGTGGTGGTGACAACTTATTGTAGTAATGTGGCAAATGATGGTGGTTTTTGATAGTGGTAGTTGATAATGCTGGGGGACTACGACGGTAGTTGCGAATAGTGGGCGAAGGTGGTAGCGGTAAATAGATGGAATCAATGAACTGTTATCTTTATAGAAATCTTTGACTAGACATTTAATGATGTTTCGACTTTGTTATAAATCTTAATCATCGAAATATATTCAGACCCATTAAGGCCTCATTTGTTTTTTGATAAGATTAAGAAGTTTGAAACTGAATGCATAGTTGAGCATTTTATTTAGATATATGAATCTGAATACACATATGAATATTAAGATGAGAAAAGATATAAAGTGACACAAAAAGTTGTCCTGAATTTACGAAAAGATGCCTTAACATTGTGGTTGTCACGACCCAGGGGTACCCCCTAGATGTAATATGGCATATAGAAACCCGAAGGACTCCATACGAGCCACTTAGCTGTCATAACATAAGAAATAGAACAATAAGAATAATCAAGTCCAAAACATTTTATAAAAGCAAAGAGGAAGTCTAATACACTTGTCTCATCATAGCCATCTAATACAATAGAATGAAATTGAGCTTAGCCCCTAATTCATTTCCAAAAGAGAAATACATGAAAAGGAACAACAACAATGAAAGTCCGTCCTCGAAGCAAGAGGACTCACTAAAGCTAAGAAATATCTCACAGCAACCTCCAACCACGAAATAGATAACCCTGACTGTCTGTATACCCAAGAAATTTTTTGAGCAAAGACTCGAACCATCCTTTTTTGTGAGTAGGATTTTACCGAGAAATTTAAAATTTCTTGAGTGTTAAGGTCTCTAGAAGTAGCACCTTGAGTTCCAAAAAAAGAACTAAATTGGAAATAGCAAAATCTAAAATTTTGCAAGTTATGCTTAAGTTATGAGTTTTGGGTCAACTTAAAACGATCATAACTCTTAGTACATGATGAATTATGTGGGCTACTAGATATCTAATGAAAGGTCTTTGAATTATCTTTTCAACGCCACAGAGTTTGCTAACGAGTTCGTATGAGGGAGATATGCCCTTTTTAAGTCAGGTTGTCCATTTAAGGAAAGTTACCCAAAAATAGGAGGGGTATTTTAGTGTTTTCCTTACCCCCACTTATTCTAAACGAGAATTTCACCTAATTAAGGGTATAAACTGATTAGAATCGGTTTCATTCATCCCCAAAAGCGTTTATGGTTTTAGAGAGAAGATTCAAGAGGAGAAAAAGTTCAAAGTTTCAAGCGTTCGTACAAGAAATTCAAGATTTCCTTATCGATTAAGTTTTGATGTAAGATTTTACTTGGGTCAACTTCAAACGACCATATCTCTTAGAATATAAAGAGTTACGTAAGTTAAAACCTATGAAATTAAAGGTATTTGAATCTAATTTCCAACTCCACCAATTTCGCGTCAATCCAATTTTTGAGTAAAAAGTTATGACTATTTTAGTAGCCTATATAGTGTTGTTACGAATTAGCCGACGGAAAAACATTAAAACGTGTTGTTTTTAGTTTTTTACCTCCAAGAAAACCCTAAACGAATTTCTTGACTAATAAAAGGCTCAAAACAATCAGTTTTTCATCTTTTAATCCATCATTCTCTTCTCTCTCAAACCCTAGGGCAAAACTCTAAGTAAAAAAAATCAAAGTAGAAGACTACATTCAAGATTCTTTCAATCTTTTTCAAGATTCTTCTTCAAGGTAAGTCTTTTTCCAAGAATTCCATTTTTTTCAACTCAAATTCCTCCATACAATTATGAATCACTAATGAAAATCATAATTTTTGGCCATAGAGATTTCAAGAAAGTAATTCAAGAATCTCAAGAAAGGTTTTCTTGATCGTTAACCTTCAAACTAGGGTTTCAAGGCTTCTAATCAAGTTCTTCTTCAAGATTCTTAAAGAAACTTGTTCTTCCAGGTATGTTAGGCTATCATAGTGTTATACTAGTTCTTCCTCACGCCCTACATCTACTTTCAAATCAGTAAAAGAGAAATCTAGGATTCAACCCCTAGATTTGAGTATTGTTGAGAAAAGTTGATTTTGAGTTCTTGAGTTCATGTTTCTTTTAAAAGTTCTATTCCTAATTATCGAATTCTTATATTGTTATTGAGATCCTTCATATCATGAATCATAACTCTTGAATTCATAATTCAAATTCAAGAAAGAGTTTAGAGTAGAGTTCAAGAAAGTCTTTGAGTTCAATTGTGAATCCTTTGAGATCAACTGTCAATTGAGCTAAGTTTTGAGGAAGTAAGTATGAGAATAAGAAGAGTCGTATACATGAGTTTCATATTGTTATGGAGACCCTCGAGTCGAGTCGTTCATGCCCATAAATTCCGCATGAACTTCATAAGTTGAGTTTCTTTGAGAGGAGTAGTATCTTCAAGTTCTAAGTCTTGAGTATTGAATTTAAAATCCCTTTGAGATTATATTCCTAATCATAGGACTATTATATGTTACCCATGAAGTCCTTGAGTTGAGTTGTTCATGTCCATAATTCTGCATGAACCTTATGAGTTGTGCAGTCTAGAGATGAATAGTATTGTTGAGTCTTGAGTTCTGAGTACTGAGGTTATTTATTTCTATTAAGATCCGTAAGTTGAGTCGTTCATGTTCATAATTCCACATGAACCCTGTGATTTGAGTTATAAATTTTAAAAAGCATTTTTTTAAAGCCAACACTTGAGTTATTAAACTGAGTTTTGAGAAAATAAAGATGAGTTTTGAGAAAAGAGTTTTCTAAAACATGATTAGTATGACAA